AACAACAACAACACATGACCGCTAGACCCACATTATAGTTCCACAAGGAGAATCATTGCCATCTCACTTTTATTACACTTTATTGGGTCTGTTTCTACCATAAGACAGCAAGCTCCTTCGGATCAGGGATTGCTTCATTTCTCTTAATAACTCTGCATCTAATTAGGGTGTCTAACATAGTAAACACCTGGTAAAAGCTTGTATATTACCGGAATGTCATAAGTCTAGCTGGGCCCCTAACATACAATTACAGGTACAGAAGGTAAGAGCGCAGACTGTGTGCTGAGTGTTGTCTCAAATTACTTTTGGAGCAAGACACTGTGTGAACCAATAAACCACACCAACCAGCCGATCAAAGGTAGGCAACAGTCCTTATTTGTCCTATCTCCTAGTACTACTATTAAGAAGGAGCTTCTCTGACCTACCTTTGTGTCCTACTAAGCTGACATGGTAATAGACTCAGCAAATGTACCTACTATATTTCCTCCAGGAACCTTTCAAAGGGAGTGCAAGGCAAGGAAGTACATATTTAAAAGTAACCAAAGGAGGCGATGAATGTCACATGACCCATTTCTTCACTGTAACAGGACTTCACCACAAAGAGAAGAATGGCATGATCAAGGCAGAGTTGACCCCTTCATAAGGCAGCATTTTCTGCTCTGCTCCCAGGGAATGTGCCAGTTGCTGAATGGATAATACACGTCTCAAGTTTTGGTAGATGTGCTCAGAGTATGGAAAATAGGGAAACTCACATCAGTATCATTTATATTTTTTATATAGTCCTTCTCCCTTATTGCCATTTCTTTTTTATTTTCATGCCATTGGTTTCAGTAAGTCCTGCCACTGTCCCCCACTATGGATGCTTTTAAAGACAATTCCTAGAGAAACCAGGAACACCCCTGGGGATCATTAGATGAGTCCCGGTATCACCACCTGCCACATGGCTACAAGGAGCTGGAGAAAGCCTCTCCATGCAGGGACAAGCTGATGCTTAAATGTATGCATGGGACTGAGGATGCCAATGAACAGTCTCCACATCCCAAGTCAGATGGCTGATCCTTTTGGTCTCAGGAGACATGATGAGCTTGAAATGATCATCATACAGTCACAAAAGGTCATGATTGAAAACAGGATTGTAAACTGTCATTTAAGTTCAAGGTCAGAGGAAATGGTGTCCTCAGCATGAAATTTCAAGAGTCTGTAACTAGCTCCTCCCCCACGAGTTTAAATCTTGCTTTGTCATATTCAATTTTGCTGAATTTTACTCAGCTTCTGCGTGCAAGGCTTTGTCTAGTGAGTCAGAGTTACCATGTACCAAGTACCTCCTAGTGTCCAGCAGCAGGCTAGGGTTCTCATAATGCCCTGCAAGGCAGGCATGGCTGCCTCTATTTTGTAGACAAGGAAACTGAGAAGCAGAGAGGTGAAGGAATTTGTTCAAGGTCACAGAGCTGGGATTCCAACCCAAGTGCTATGAGGAATATTGGTAAGTACAAGACTAGGCCCTGTGCTTAAGAAACCTACAGTTTAGCTTTGTAGATATACCTTGACAATGGAAAGTTGATTACTATGTAACAACATCAGTCAACAAATGGAAAGACTATCACAAGATTACATGATTACTTGTCAATTGAGAAATCCCGACCAGTTAAGGAGAGAAGGTGACTGCTGAGGTCTGTGGGGATCCCCTGAACACTCATAAGCAGGACACCTGGAATGCAGTGAAATTGCCCTATATCCATTCTCGGTCAAGAGTTGCTTTGATAGGGGTGCCCGGGTGGCTCAGTCGGTTAAGTGTCTGACTGCGTGGGTCAGGTCATGACCTCACAATCTGTGAGTCTGAGCCCCGAGTCAGGCTCTGCACTGACAGCTCAGAGTCTGGAGCCTGCTTCAGATTCTGTCTGTCTCTCTCTCTGCCCCTCCCCTGCTTGCACTCTTTCTCTCTCTCTCAAAGTAATAAATAAACATTAAACAAAAAATTTTAAAAATATAAGTTGCTTTGATACAATGGGTACCTTCCAAAATGCCTGGTGTCTGTCCCAGGAGCCCATCTCTGGTCACTTCAGGCCAGCTGCAATACCTCTAGACACACAAAACAGAAAGCAAGTGCTCATCACACGTGCAGGCCAGTGCTAAACACGCAGAGGCTTTCTAAATACTGCTTTTAGCCTCCATCATTGGTAGCTTGCACCATCTTCCCATTTTCAGGAGTCGTCTAAACTCACTCACTGTACTCAGAAAGCAAAATATCCAGGTACCAATGTAAAGCTGTGTGTCTATGAAACTGTGATCACAAGTCTGTGTTGTGATTTACTTTCTGTTTTTAATGAGTAAGGCTCTGATAATGGGAAAAAATAAGAAAGGGTGGGAAGTGGAGAATCACACACAAAACTAATGACCCATAAAAATGTTATTTAAAAAGGTAATGATCATAAAGTTAAAGCGGAATGAAGTGACTAGAAATAGCAAACCAGTTCCATTTCACTGATGGTAATGGACTGTGTTCCACTGCTCTCAGGGAAGCAGACACATCTAGGCTAAAATTCACTGGTTGGGAACGGCCTAAAGGAATGATAAACAAGTGCAAAATACAATATTACGGACACCTGGGATAACAGTCTTGCATTCTGAATGAAATATTTTGGTTGGATTGTTTTGAAGAGTCTTTTTCTACCACACTTAAGTATGTAACTGCCTGGTCCCATAATGTACAGTCCAGTATAGATGACACCGGGTCACACAATGGGGGAAGAATGGAATGTGCCATGTAGAACTAAGACGTACAAGAGGTCAGGAAGTGATACCCTTTTGTCCTCTGGTTGCTCCCAAGCAGGTGATGACCTTCTCCAGCGGCTGGCACACACAAGGCAAGTGGCATTGACCTCTGAGCCTTTGAAACAAGGTCACACTACCAAACTCCTGTGCCTGGTGTGAGTCCACAGGAGGATAATGTGTTGAAAATGTGACCCACTGAAACTATGACCCTTGACCTTTTGTTCCCATGGGTTCTGATGAGTCCTCTCTATGCTACTGATGAAAGGAGGAGGAGCTGATGGCAACTCAGCTGGCACAGGCACGTCTGGGCGCTGCTTGTAGAGCTCGCTCTCAGGATGCATCCTGACTGCTGCTGGACAGAGCTCCTGAACGGAAACATGTAAGTTTCACTGCTCTGGATTACTACAGGGATCCGGCAGTTGGGCTTCAGGTGTGTATGGAAAACGGGGTTTGGGAGTTTTAACGAGGCTTGGATCAGCATTCTCTACTTAAG